TGGTGAGTTCAACAGAAGCATGCGCGTATGAACAGCATGAGGATGAGGAGGATGAGGATAAGGGGGTAGGTGCCGACCCCCATAACTCTACTAATGTAGTATTTGAAGAGTGGTGACTGCTAACTTGGAAGTAACTTGTTAGTTTGGTGCTGTGCAGTAGTTTTATTAGAAAGAATTGATTGGGAAACTGGAATTGTGGGGAATGTGTCTAATGTAGAATAATACTGGCAGTGCTAATGATTTTGGGCAATCCATCAGGACCCTCTGAAATGACTGCAAAAGTTAACAGAAAGCCTTTTGCTGCTGCTGGCGGATTTTCCTTTTTTATCAGTCCGACTCAAAATGGCAGCAATTTAACGTATTTTGTTTCTTTCCTTGCAGCGATAATCATTTATGCTACAACTATGCAGCTAAACGCTCTTAAAGAGGCTCGAACGATGCCACACATTTAGTGAAGCAATTCGTAATTGTGTATGGCAACGTGGTTGTGTTACATGACTGGCAACCTGATCCGCAGCCCTTTGAAGCTGGAACAATAAATGTTCCATGTCCCAAGGAGCTTTCAATAAAATTGTCAGTAGTTGGGGAGACAACCAATAGAAGGGGAGGAAACAAAGAGAGAGAAATGCATCAAGGGGGGAATGTGATCAAATGCAATTAGTCCAAAGGAGTTCAGTTGGTTTTGTGGATTGCTTAACTCATTGGCTGAATATGTAAAACCTTTTCCCAAATAGATGTAGTATAGAAATAGCTGAAAGATAGTTAAATGATGCTTCACTAAGTAAATATGTTCCCTTTTCACAGGATTTATTTTTTATAGCAGCAAAAGCTGAGGTAGCATTTTTAATGATGCCTTTTGTCTTCCAGATGCGAAATAATCTACTTATAAACAGTACGGCAATGCACTAAGTATTGATTTGTCCCAAAGGGGTTGCGTCATTTTTACAAGAAACTGGCTTTTAAAAAATTATTATACTAAAGTCAAGGTCCTTTTGAGATCACTTCTGTTCCTAGAGGCACAGATATGTGTTGCCCATGTTCCATACCTATGAAACCTTTGAGTATATACCAAGGGTCCGGGGGAAAAAATCTCAAAACCACCCTGGCTTTATTATGCGTTAAGATATTACAAAGGAAATATCTTTGTTCTTTCACTTTCTGAAAAGCTTAGATTTATTTATTTGCCTATTTTATATTCTGCATTCAAACCATTTCCCAAATTCTGTGTGTGTGTGTGTGTGTGTGTGCGTGCGCGCGTTCCATTCATTAGCACTTAAGGCTGCAATCCTATGCTTACCTGAGGCTAAGTCGCATTGAACTCAGCGAAGTTTAATTCTCATACTTTAAAAAGGCACATTTGGGCAGCATCCTTGAAGAAACTACTCCAGAATAGCTTGTTGTAAGGAATGCTGCCTTTGGCAGTGCTTCACTTTCTACGTCCCCAGGATGAATACTTTTGGATAGCACCCCATAATGCTAACCACATAATGATTTGGTTGATAGGCTTGGATGCTGAGTTTTCTTCTGCTGATGAGAGTGTCTTATGAACAGAATTCTATTCATTGGATGATCCTGGCAGCAGAGCGGACAGAGTTGGGTGGGGGCAACAGTTACTGATCCCTCACCTGCAACTCCTTGTGTACCCTGATACTCCAGAGTAGTGGGAGGGAGGGAGGGCTGCAGGGGGAGGGGGTGTTGGTGAAAACTTGCCAGTGGAATTTCCCACTTGATTGAAAACCTTCGATTCGCAAAAGGGATACGTAGGCTCCAAGCCACAGGAATCAATGGAGTTATGCACGTTTGTGCCTTACAGATGTTACGGCTCTCCAGCTACAATGCTCAGTTAATGCAGAGTCCAGAACATGAGCGATATAATGTCATTTCCGTTGGTTTATGCCTTCTGCTGGGCAGCCAGGTCTCAAACTCTTTACTATGCCAGTCGTGCAGGAGTTCCTTTTTAATGCTGTTGCTTCTGGAAGTAGAGGTAAAATCACTATGGGGAGGAACTGTGAGCTTTTCGCATGTGGCCCAGGGTATCTCTCATTATATGAGAGCAAACTGCATTGAAGCAGCTTCTGCACTTCTGGTATAACATGAGCACCGAGTCCATGAAAATTTGCGATTATGTAGCTGCCTTCCACCAGTGCCATGACAGCACTGAAATTTGGGGGCTTGGGCAAATCTAGGGCCTGCCTCAGCACTTGGTATCATTGGACAGTTGCCAGGGTCCATTGGTGATGCCTTTAACACCCCTTCCCTTTAAACATTTTTAAGAGGAGCACCACATGTCTGGGTGTATTCATTTTCATTTCCCACAATGCCCTTCTAAAACACCATTATGTGGGAAATTAAAACGGCACCTTAACCCATATGTCCATGCTCTGCTTGGCGTGCAGCTGCTGCCTGTCGCCCCCAGATTTTCTCCAGAGCAGCTCCCAAGAGAAGGACATCCCCCACTAAGTAAACTTTTGCTTAGGGCTTCCTCAAGCCTGGATCTGCCCCAGGCAAACCCATAACAGCAGTGAAATGCAAGCTTCACTGCAACTCTCTGACTAAACTGATGGACCATCAGCAGTAGTGGACAGCATGGTGGAACTCGTATGATTTATGTGACCTCTGGTTGTTTGCCTCACTACTACTTGCTGGGAGGTGGATGAGTAGGGGCAGGTGGTAGCAAGGATGGCATAGAACATGGTACATTTTCACTGTGCCAACCTCGTCTCACCCCTCTCTGCTGCCCTACTGTGCTGTCCACTATTGACTACAAACAAGAGACTCCCTAGAAAGGAGGGTTGCTGTTGGCTTATCATTGGTCTTCCGTCTTTTTTTCGTTTTTGCTTGGTTTTATCAACAGCGTATGTGTGTCTCCAGACCATTTACTGGGCTGTGGCTTATGGGGGAATGGCTCTCAGTACCCAGAGCCATAGGACAGAGTCCAAAGCTCCATGAAAAGGAGGACTGATTGGTTCTTGGTCTTTCTGAAAGCACATGAGAAGCAAATAGCTGGTCCTCTTGAGCTGTGGGTATTGGGGAGCAACTGCCAGTGCTCAGTAGCAGGGAGAGGAGCTTGTTATTGCCTTGGGTAGAAAGCAGCTTGAGGGCTCTTGCAGTCATATATGCAGATAAGTCCTTGTTTTCTTGGCTGAGGAAATACTCATTGCTGAGCTGTAGAAGTTGCTGTGGTGTAGCATGCTTCAGTCCATTACTGCAAAGGTTTGTGGAAAATCTAAAGTCAGGAAGAAGGGCATTATATTTTTTTGGATTATACAGTCACATAAATGTTTACTTCCCTCCACCCCATAGCTGTTCCTTGATAGCTAGCGAATGATGCCTTTTCTGGTGTAATTCTTCCGCTTTGTGATTTTACACTAACTGCTTGCCTTCTGCCATATTATCATCAATCTGCTATATATAATTTGTTTTCCTTGGTAACTTGTGTAGATTTATCCATGCATGTTGCGTTTTGTAAGCATTTCTAAGGAATAGGTTGTAATTTTCTGAGATAACCCTTGAAATTCTACTAAAAAAGAGAGAAAAGGATGGGGATCATTTTTAAAGAACTTACTCCAGTATGTACTTGCTTGAAAAATCGATGTGCTTTTCTAGTTCTGATGCAACACTTTTTTTACACGAATATTTCCTAGAAACTGGCCATGTGGACCACTTCACGCATCATGTATGTTTTAAGTGTACACCTAAAAATGCAAAATGTGAATGTGGCAAAACATGTGTTTACAGATCAAACTGGTACACTTGTCAGCCGCATTGGATCAAATTCTGCATAATGTGTGAAATGATTCTTAGGCTTTACCCTGTACGTTACATAGAGGAAAAATAAATAATAGGATGCATTGCAAATAAAAATACATGGTATATTCTACTGGTGCTTAGTAAAATGCACTCTATTAACCAAGAATGTGCCCCTTGCTACATTCCTGGTGCATCCTAACAAGCACTACTGTTCCGTTTGGACAATTGCTCACAAAAGGGTGTGATCCAGAGATGTATGTTACAGTTGAAATCACTTGCTATATTCTGATGCTAGTCTTTAGGGCTAGCTTTTATTCCTCCAGTTATCGCTGCGCTCCCAACTCCCATCAGCCTGAGCCAGTGCAGCAAGTGGTCTGGGATGATAGGAGTTGCAGTACAGCACAGCAACAACTGGAAGTGAGTCACTCATGTTCTAAAACCTTGTCAAAGAACACTGGTGAGAATGTGGATGGTGGGCACATGTCATCTGGATCCTAATTTGTGCTTTTTAACAGCTAATAGAAGGCATGCATCCAGCCCAAGTGAAGCATTGTTAAGGACCATTGATTTCCATGGGAAAGAAGTTTAACTCTCCTGTTGTCATTAAGGGGCCTTTACAGTGCTTCACTTCGGCTAAACTGTGCCCAAAAGTAGATCACACCTGCTCCACAAGGTAAGTTTTACAGCAGCATTGTGATGTTATCTTCTAAATAAATAACCCTCCATATGCATCCCACAACATCCCCAAGTATGCTCCGTAGGGTTGGGTGATCATATTTAGAGGGATGCAATGAAGAAGGGCTTAGAACCCTCCATTGCGCAAGTGGAAATCCTTGTGCTGATGAGATGTTCACATATGGGTTCTACATTAAAGCCTACTTTATTGTGTCCAAATGAATAAAAAGAGACTACAGGGGTGAAGACAGGGCCTCTTTAACATTTAAAGCAGTGTGGTTTTATCCAGAGTCATTAGGTTTTAAATAAACTTTTTCACATACCCCCCCAAATATTCTGACATGAATGTTTTAGAACTTTTTAAAAATGTCGATCATTCTAAAGGAGTATTACTTGCCTTGTAAGTCACATTTGTTGTATAGAAAGCCTCACAGTCTTCATTTTCTGTTTTTAGCCCAGAGAGAAAGGTCGGATGCGTTTTCACAGACTGCAGAATGTACAAATTGCACTTGATTATTTGAAAAGACGGCAGGTAAGATACCACAATTAACTAACCTAGTTAAAAGTTAGAAAGGTGGGATAGCTCAGTCGGTAGAGCATGAGACTATTAATCTCAGTGTAGTGGGTTTGTGCCTCACATTGGGTAAAAAGATTCCTGCATTGTAGGGGGTTGGACTAGATGACCCTTGTGGGCCCTTTCAACTCTCTATGGAAACATACTAATTATTGACAAAGGAAAAATTACAGTTTGTATTTTTATGCTGTTTGTTGATTTTTTTAAAAAAAGAAGATTTCTTAGCCATGTTATTTGGACTGAACCAGAGAAGTGGGGTTGATTGATACCCTCATTGGCAGATCCTAAGAAATAGAATATATATCTTTTTTTAAAAAAAAATCTCATGAACTACAGTATTCATCTCTCCAAGTCAACAGATACACTCACCTTGTTTTCCAATTTCCCCCCCTCTGCCGAAGCAAAAGAAAATCAAAACTGCTAATGTTCCTGAATTGCATGTCCCCTGGGGGCGAAAGAGAGAAAGTGTATCAGAACACCAGCATTCTGATTGATTTAGCATACTTGTGCCCATCAGATCTCGAGGCAGAAAGATGAGACATGTCCATGCATCATTCCCAGTGGATTGCACCATTTGTGCTAGAACACAGCCTAAAGACGAGTCTTGTTATGTATTCATTTCATCCACATCTTTCCCCATTGCAACCCATCACTACCTGTGCTCTGGCAGCTCTGATAGGGACCGATGAAAGTCAAAACCAGATGGAATAAATGGGCCAGCAATAGGGACTGCTTCCAGTAATGTAAACAGTTATGATCTGGGTCCTGCGTTTGTGATATAGAAGATTTAAGCAGCTGCATTCTTACATGTTAGGGCTACATCTAGGGAGGCTTGAGGAATTCATTATTGGCAAAACAATGTGAGCTGACCTGAGTGGCATCTCCCAGACTAATGTGTGCATCAGAATGGAGTTCTTGCTTTGATTTTTCACTATAAGTTTTATTCTGCGGCTCTCAGCTCAAAATATGCACCAACAATGTGGGGGGGGGACATATTTTAAAATAAATTACTTTTATGAATCTGTAATTTGTGAAAAAATGATATTTATTGTTTCAGTGAATTTTCATGCAGTATTTTTTTAAATCTGCAGATTAATGTAGAATTGGGATAGAATGGATTTATGAATGAATACATGCATTAATTGACACAGCTGGCTATAAACTGATCCATCAACCCCTAGCTAGCATCTCATCTTATTTTGGCTACAAAAAAATTGGATACACAATTTGTTGGTTACCTGCTCCAAATGTGCTTTTTTCTCTGGTTCTGCTGCTCCCACTCTGCTATGAATCTAGAACAGTCGTGAGGAACCTGTAGCCCTCCAGGTGTTACTGAACTTCAGCTCCCATCATCCCTAACAGTCTTAGCTCATGGGCAGGGATGATGGGCGTCGTAGCAACATCTGGAGGACCAAAAGTTCCTCAAACCTACCCTAGAAAACTTTGGTTTCGGCTTGTGATTTCTCTAGAGCAAGATAAACCACAAGCCAGGGTTTGATGTACTACTAAGTCAAACCATGGCTTAACTCAAGCATCCCCAAACTTGGCCCGCCAGCTGTTTTGGGACTACAATTCCCATCATCCCTGACCACTGGTCCTGTTAGCTAGGGATGATGGGAGTTGTAGTCCCAAAACATCTTGAGGGCCTAGTATGGGGATGCTTGAGCCTTAACTCATAACAGTACAGCAGCAGCAGGACTGGAGGAGGAGCGAAGAGGCCACAGTCTTCTTTTCAGGACCCACATGTTTGTGCTAAGTAATTGTTTGGCTTTTTAAAATTTACTTAAATCGTATCCATACCTTTATAGACCTATTAATTTCCAGGGACCTTTGAGGTTTTCTCTTCTCTTCATTTCATGTACTGCAGCATCGCTCCCCTTTTATTTAGGTAGAAAACCGCATAGCAAAATATATTATGCCATTTTGTTAGAAAAGAACAACTTCTTTTACATCTTGGAGATTTATAATTAGGCTTTCCATCTTTCTTAATTGCTTTAAGTGTAGAGTATATTTCTTGTGAAATGTAGTTTTAACAGGTCGGAAAACAACAGGATGCTTAAGTTTAATTGGCTGCTAAACAATATCCCCAAATACGTTTTTATCAGGATAAGCACCACATACCTCTCTTTAATCAGAGTATTCTTATTCCAACTTAATAAGCAAATAATTGTGTGACAGCAGCATTATAATAGGGCTTCCAAAATACATCGAAAGTATTGCATAAATTAGGAGATATAGAAGTCGCAAATACAACTGAAGTTTATTCCAAAACTGCAGGACTATAATATTGTTAAATAGTCAGTGTGTGTGCTGCTTTTTGAATAGTTGAAGAGCTGTTAGGATAATAAAAATATTACTGCTGGTGCTGGTGCTACTAATGTAAATATTAATGCAATTTGCTTTCTTTTGTTTTAATTGGCCAGGCTCTCCCTTACAGGCTTTTTTATGCAGCTAAACTCTTCCCAGTATAGAGTAGGGGAAGTAGCTGTAGCCCAGGAAAGCCTAATGTGATGTGATCCTGGACAGAATCCAAGATCCTCCATGTTTTCTCTTTGCTATTTCTCCATGCTTTTGTGTTAGGAAGATTGTCCATTCCTTTTTAGCCATCTAAGCTTGAACAGAAATTGGCAGAAGAGTGTTTCCTCCTGTACTCAGCCACAGAGAGGCAATCTTTTGCTTTGCCTGAAAAGCATCAAGAGGAGAAACCAAAATTGGAAATGCAGCCCACTATGTTTATTATTAAAGTTATTGAGAAATTCAAGTATTCTTTATTGCGATCACGCAGAAGAGTCAGAAGGAATGTTTTCATCTCCAGTTGTTTGACTATCTACTAGCAGTAACAACTATGTTACTGGTTTCTGGAGTAAGTGTGCTCTAGCGCTCATGTCCAACTTGCCTGTTTTCCACGAGCATCTGGTTGGCTCCTGTGAAAACAGAATGTGGGACTAGATGGGCCCTAGATCTGATCCAGCAGGCTCATCCTATGTTCTTATAGTTCTTTTCCTCCTCTCGACAGGTGAAACTGGTGAACATTAGGAACGATGACATTACGGACGGGAATCCCAAATTGACTTTGGGATTGATATGGACCATAATTTTGCACTTTCAGGTAAGATGACATTGTCCGTTTCAGTGCACTTCCAATTTGAAACTCCTCCCCTGCCGGCCCTTGTCAGATGTGATTGGATAGGGGTGCTGGCAGCATTTAAATGGATGCAGTTCTGCGGGTGCTACTACTGTTTCCTCCTTCGGTAACTTACCTTGAAGCCCCAGGAGGAAACAGGAAGTAGTGGGGTCTATTCCCTAGTAGACCAGAGCTTTCCAAACTCTGTGTCGCGACATGTTAGTGTGTCGGTTGCAGTGTGCAGGTGTGTCGCACGAACGCCCCCACACTACTCCCAGGGCTGAAAAGGGGTTAGTAAGTTTAACCCCCTGTTTGTTAGTAACCAAATTACTGTGTCATGATATGATGCATGTCTAAAAAGTGTGTCACCAACATGAAAAGTTTGGAAAGCTCTGCGCTAGACCAGGCATAGGCAAACTTGGCCCTCGAGGTGTTTTTGGGACTACAACTCCCATGATCCCTAGCTAACAGGACCAGTGGTCAGGAATGATGGGAATTGTAGTCCCCCAAAAAATCTGGAGGGCCAAGTTTGCCTATGCCTGCCATAGACCCTTCTGGAGCACCCTTCCCTATTGGGGATGGAGTGTGACTTAATGGTCTTAGAACCCCTCATGAGAAATTGACACTGTGGATGTCATTTCCATCATGCATTTGAAAATTTAATGTCTCTGTTTTCAGTTCACAGTGTCCTTTCTACAGGTCAGTTGCATTTGCTGTAAGACATTGCTATCATAGGCCATTCATTTTATTTGTATGCCGCTTTCCCATACAAATCATGTTTAAAGCAGCTTGCGACAAAGGAAGCAATATACCGTATTTTTCCGTGTATAAGACGCCCCCGTGTATAAGACGCCCCCTATTTTTTGGGACTCAAAATCAAGAAAATACACTATGCACTATCTGTGTATAAGACAACCCCTTATTTTAAACTTCAAAAATTTAGGAAAAAATATAGTCTTACACATGGAAAAATACGGTATTTCAAAATCAAACAGTGCAAAAAGAATTTCCTAAGAACATAGCAAAACTACACAGTAGCAACTATAACAACACATAAAAAAGCAACATTTCAGAACTATAAATATAACAAATAACAATATAATATAACAACATAACAATAACAAAAATAACAAGGGAGCTTTACAGTTTCACCTTCATCCTAGAAACACCCCACCGAAAGTCCCTCTCCTGTACCTGCTTCTTGTGGTCATTGAAAGGATATACTCACCACAGTAAATTATTTGTGTTGTCAAAACATAGAACCCTCCACAAATACTATGCAATAGAATGAGAGACCGTTACCCTCTCTCCCCCCCCCTCTCCTCCCTTTCCCTCCAGCCGCATAATGTCTATGAAGAACACTATGAATTGAAAGTGGAGGCGCTATAAGTGCTTTTTTGTCAAACAATATTTTTTAAAAATAAAAATCAATAATAAAAATAAACTTTTTTTAAAAAAAGAATAGGATGTGCTGGAATATTGGGTATTTATCAAGTTGAACTCTGTTGATTACAAAGTTTGTTTAATTTGGCAACTCATATCCCTCAAGGAGGGGAAATAAGATTTTTCTGAATGGCTGTGAAGTGTTTCTTTGAAAACCCTGAAGCCATTTCAGCTAGAGCTCTTGTACTTAAGCCAATAAAGTCCTGTCCAGCTTTATTTCATACAGTTTATTTTAAGCAGTTTGTATTCTGTCTAGTTATTCTGTCTTTATTTAAACTTTTAATACGTTCTACAGCATATTACAAGTGTGCTCAGCAGTTGTTGTTTATAAAAGAGCTGTTATTTCTTGTTGTAAATGTTGAGTGTGTTGGTTATGGTTGATCACGCTAGATGGCACTAGAATTATGGCACTGACTGTACTTAAAGAATTTCTGTAATGTATCCTTCTGGTTCTTACGATATGCAACACTGGTATTGTTGCTTCTCGACTTCAGTGCCTGAGAGTTGCA